GAGAGAGAGAGAGTCTCACTCTGTCACCCAGACCGGAGTGTAGTGGTATGATCCTAGCTTACCGTAACCTCAAACTCCTGGGTTCAAGTGAACCTCCTTCTTCAGCCTCCCAAGTAGCTGGGACTTCAGGCATGCACCACCACCCCCTCTCTCTGTTCCTCTGGCTAAATTTTTTAATTGTTCGCAGAGACTGGGGTCTCGCTATGTTGCCCAGTCTTATCTGGAACTCCTGGCCTCAAAGGGTGCTCCCGCCTCGGCCTGCCAGAGTGCTGGGATTACAGGCACAAGCCACTGTGCATGGTCCTCAATCCAGTAATACTTTAATGTATTTATTTTTGTTTTAGTATACAATAAGAAATGGATAAATGGTCGTGAGGTAGGACTTTACTTTCCTAAAGAAGTGAGAAAATGAACAATTCAATATATCAAGAACATATTTGCACCAAATAAATCAAGCAGTTTATTTGAGTTTGATTATAAAATGACATAGGAGATGGATTTGGCTGACTGTATTTGGATTTTGGCCTTAAAAATTCTGTGATGCTTTGTTTTATTTCTCTAATGATTTTACAGTTTCTATGCTCACCATCACAGGGAACACTGCCACCACCCATCCACCCACCTGGCCACCCCAGAAACTTGAGCACCACATCTAATGCATGTCTAAATAAGGTCTCTCCTCCCACCTAAAGATCTCACCCCTCTCTGCCCACACCTCTTTCTGTTCATCACAAACGCCCTAGTTCAATCCACCATCACTGCTCACTTTGATGACTACAAAGGTGTCTTTGTGGGTCTACCCTCTTCTCTTCCAGGCCCACCACATCCATGTTCTACCTAGCAAAAAAAAAAAAAAAAAAAAAAAAGAGGTTCTCTCTAAAATGTAAATCTAGTCACTCCACCTCTGTGGCTCTAACAAACAACATCCCAAACTTCTTACCATGGCTCGTAAGTTTCCACACTTTCTGGTTGAGAAATGCTACACATGGCCATGCTGGTGTATCTTGAAGAACTCCAGGGCACACCATTTTCCGGATGATGATGTGACTATCAAGCCCTGGAGTTGTGCACTGTATAATCTGCCAACCACACACAGCCATCCCACCCTGCTGACCTCTCCAGCCTCATCTGTACCACTTCCCCGCTTTGCTCCTCACATTGGACCTATATGGACCTTCTTCTAGACCCCCAAACACACCAAACTCCCTCCCAATTTTGCCTATGCCATTATGTCTTTTTAGATGCACTCACCCTCAGCTCTCCTTCACCTAATTAACTCCTACCAATCCCCTATATCTCGGTCCGAATGACACTTCCTCAGGAAAGCATTCCCTGATTGTCTGGGCTTTCTGTGCAATCATTCACAAACCCAGCTAAAGTTGTAATGGGTAGTTTCTCATGTACTCTGTAGTTTGATATCTGCATCCTTGTCTTGCATGTAAGCTGCCTGAGGGGAGATACTGTCTCTTCAGTAAGATACTCCCAATGCCCCCAGCATACTACCAGCACACAGCAGGTGTTCAGTAGGTAGGACATAAATGAATAAATGGATGAACCCACAGAGGAAGGGAGGAAAAGAGGGAGAGAGAATGGAGGAATGAATAGATGGATGGATATAGGATGGATGGATAGGTAAACAATGGAATAAATGAATGAAACCCTTTAAGACAAACTGAGGCAGCATTAATCCATTTGTCAGACCTCATGAGAGCTTCAAGGTATCTTCATTCTTCTCTCCTTCCTCTTCCTAACCTGTCCTCTACCTAATTTGGCCTGAGAATTGGAGCCCTCCAATGGTTCCAATATTGCCTTTAACCTAAAGTTGCCAAATTTAATACAGAAAAGCACAGGACACCCAGCAAAACGAGAATTTCAGATAAACGATGAATGAAATACAATTTTTACATGCTTACACCACATTTTGTTTTGCTATCAGAAATTCTAATTTTACATGGAAACCTGTATTTTTCCTGGCAACTCTACTTCAACCCCTGTACCAAATCTGGACCGTGTTGCCCCTCAGCTCCATGCCCCATCTTCCTCTCCTCAGCTCTGTATAATGGAATACAGATGACCTCTGTAAAATGGGATTAGGTGACCTGGGCAAACTGCATTTCCCAGAACCCTTTGCTAACTGGCTTTGGCTGGGTTTTGCCAATGGAAAGCCCAGGTGGGAGAAATAGTAAGAGAGAAGTCAATGTCATTTTCTCCCTTCTTCCTTGCCTCAGGCATTATCTCTAGTAGCAGGTGTGTCTCCTCTGTAACTCTAGCTCCTGCCAGAAAGTTCTCTGTGGTTCCAGCGTCCAAAGGGTGACTTCAGCTCCTGGACTCTGGTCACACCATCCCCTCTCTCTGTTCCTCTGGCCTAGAAGAGATAGCAGCTTCCTGCCGTTACCCATCTCTGAGTTTTGCCTCATCATGTTAGTTTGGCTCCTCCATTGCTTGCTCATCTGTGTAACCTACCCCCTGTGTTAGCTTCCTTTTGTATTAAAACCTCAGAGGTTTCTGTTTTCAGCCCTGATTCTACACCCTAAGTCCCTGACTCCTTGTACAGCCTCCTGTCTTGTTGCCGGGAATAACTTTTCCAAGACTGTGCGCCCAGGATAGCATTCTCAGTAATGTGTCTGTTTTCAAGACCTTTCTCCCATATTGTAGTAACAGCTTGCTTTACCTGGTCTGATGTTTGGGGAAATGGCCGAAGTATTATATTATGAGTAACAGTAATAGAGCTCATATTTACTGAGCAGCTACTATACGCAAAGTACTGCACATGCTTCATCTCAGTCACCTTCCAATGTAAACTTATGACTTGATACAATTATCCCCATTATCCAGATGAAAACCCTAAGGCTTAGACGCTCAGGGGACATACTTAGGAAGAGCAAACCCAGACACATCTGATTCCATGATCTTAATCATCCTACTCTACTGCCTGGGAATCCAATCCCATCTTTCTCTCACACCATCCCTAGGCTTTGTTCTTAGAACCAACGCTAATTCTCTCAGAAGATTTGGGTATCTTTAGAAGCTAGTGTGCAGGGTTTTTCTTGAGGGGTCTTAGAGTTTTCACCCAGCAGCCTAAATCTCAAAACTGCTTCAAGTGAACCAGTCTCAGTGGTATATGTATGTATGTGGGGGAAGGGTAACAGAGAGGAGGTGACCTTGAAATTTGCAACAAAGTGACTCTGTCCACTATCACCATGGTGAGAAGCCAGTCAGGCAGCTCTGCAGGAGACCCGAGGAGACATGAAAGGCATACAGAGCCAGGTTGAAGGTGTCATTAATCAGGCAGAGGTACCAAGGGAGTATCTGCTCAACAAAATAGGGAGTGTCACCAAGCAGCACTGCGAGAAGGCCCCCAATGTATGTTACCTTAGAAAGACTCATTCTATAACCAAAGTAAATAATGAGATGAGGTTGACACCCATTCCTCCATCACTCTTTCCTATTCTTTGGAAAATTTCTGTTAATAGAGTCCTGTGTGACTCACAGAGGTGCCCCCACAGGAATACAGATCCCACGGGGAAGCTCAAATGCCGAAGACCTCAGGCCTGTTAGCCATCAGCTGCCAGCCTTACTCACATCCAGCTTTTTAACCTCTGCAAACCAATATCTATAGTACCCACAGCATAGGTGGCAGGGAGTGGGCAGAACACCAGGTAGGGATGAAACTAGCACGATTTAATTTGGTCAAGTTCCCTGTTCTGTACAGTGGCGGAATAGAAAAGGTAGAATAAGGTCCAGTCAGACTGGGAAGCAAATGCGGCTTATATCTGGCAGTTTCCTTCCAGACACTGCCACATTAAGCACCCAGTGCTCACAGATCATTGCTGTGGTGCCCCAGAAAGGCCACCTCCAAAGTCCCATTGATTCATTCAACATTTAACAAGTATTTACTGAGCACCTACTATATTCTACGCGTTGTACTGAAGGTAATCCTAGACTCCCTACATGAAGAAAGACTTTCCCCATCTTCCGTCCCATTCCTTCAAGATCTTGCTTTCTGGTCATTTGTTTTATTCTGTTCAAGAAATGCTAATTGAGCAACAAGTCCATGCCAGGCACTGCAGTTGGATATACAACAGTGAACAAGACAGACCCAGTGAGTGGGACAAGTTGGAAAGAGTACTGGATATGGGGGTGAAAGATGGACTTTGAGCAGGTTGATTTAACCCCTCAGAATATGTGTTTTCCCATTGACAAAATGAGAGTGATCCTGCCCAATTCACAAAGATTATAAATCTCAGATATGAAGGATGTGAGAATGCTGTAGAAACTTCAAAGTGCTTATCACTCATAGCCCTGGGTGGCATACTCAAAGAGTTATTTGAAGAATATTTAATGAAAGGACTATTTATAGAGGTAGGAGAATGATTGATAGGGAGCCATTCAGAGACTTAACAGTAGCAGAGAAAGCTGTTACCACCAGGAAAGCACTAAGGGTTGAAGGGGAAGAGTATGAGACCAGAACCTCACAAGAGCTGTACGACAGAAGCTGCGGCCACAGGTGGAAGAACAGGGCCATAATCAAACCCCATCCCAGCGGGGTGTTTTAAAATGTAGGTTTTATTATATTCAGGGATGGTGAAGACCACCTGCCATTAGAAAGATCGTTTGTGGGCCGGGTGCGGTGGCTCATGCCTGTAATCCCAGCACTTTGGGAGGCCGAGGCGTGCGGATCACGAGGTCAGGAGATCAAGAGCATCCTGCCCAACATGGTGAAACTCCGTCTGTACTAAAAATACAAAAATTAGCCAGGTGTGGTGGTGCACACCTGTAGTCCCAGCTACTTGGGAGGCTGAGGCAGGAGAAATGCTTGCACCCGGGAGGCAGAGGTTGCAGTGAACCGAGATCACACCACTGCACTCCAGCCTGTGCTACAGAGCGAGACTCCATCTCAAAAAAAAAAAAGAAAAAGAAAGAAAGAAAGATCGTTTGTTACCCACAGATCCCAAGTGGAGGGAGCTTGCCACGCCATGCAGGGCCACATGGGGGCAGCACCATGGTCGGTCAAAAGGCAGAGGGAGCAGGAAGAAGACGTTAAGAGCCTTTATTGTGATTTCTGAGGGAAGAAACGGGCGAGGCAAGGTAAGCAGGTGTAGTATTAGCTCATTTGAATAATTTCAGTAGGCTCTGGGGCATATAGGCTGTCTCTAGTTCTCTGGTACTGGACCCTGGGGTGATTAGGGCAGGTGGGTAGTGGCCCAGAGTGTGGGAGGCTGATACAGGAAATGTGTAAGGGGATGGGCTTCTATCAATTGATTTGCATATGGAAATGTGTAGGGGGATGGGCTTCTATCAGTTGATTTGCATATGGAAGTTGCACTGCTGGAGTGAGCTGTTTGCTCTCTATAAGAATTGCCCAACCCTGGGAGAGGCATTCTGTTTAGCGTCAGCAAGGCCCAAAGATGTTGAAGTATCAGAATAAAAAGACATGCTTACTACACAAGAATGAAGTTGGCAACAGGTAGGGAGAATGCCTGATCCTTCTCTCCTCCTTTCCTTGAATCCCCTGCCACTTGCCTCCTTATTGGCTGAATTCAGCAAGAAGCCAGAGAGCAAGGGAGCTTGGTTGATGCTGTCCATACAGTTTAGCCTTCCAAGGAACAGAGTGGGAAGGAGAAAGAGAAAGTGAATCTAGAGGGGCAAGTGGAGACTGCAGCATAAATGCTGTGGAGATGTGAAGTATTATTAAGTGGCATGCTTTATGGTATATTTGTTCCTAACGGGGCCTGTCATCCATACATCCTTTCAAAATAATAATAATATCCCATTTATTGAGCATGTATTAATTGCCAGCACTGTATTAAATGCTGTACATGCTTTATTTAATCCTCATTACAAACAGTCATGGTATTACTGTTCCCATTTTACAGATGAGGAAAGGAAGGCTTAAAGATATTCACTGACTTGCCTAAGATTATACAGCTGGATTAGTGTCCAGACCCGTCTGACCCCAATACTTACACTCGTGACTGCAATGTAGTCTTGGGGGCTGATTCTTTCTTTTTCTCCTTGTTACTGGGTTTTGAAGACTCCGTTCAGATCTCACCCCTTCCACGAAGAGTTTAAGCGTAACTTCAACCACCTCTTTTTTTGTTTTCTTTTTTTTTTTTTTTTTGAGATGGAGATTCACTCTTGTTGCCCAGGCTGGAGTGCAATGGCGCGATCTCAGCTCACTGCGACCTCCACCTCCCGGGTTCAAGTGATTCCCCTGCCTCAGTCTCCCGAGTAGCTGGGATTACAGGCATGCACCACCACGCCTGGCTAATTTTGTATTTTTAGTAGAGACAGGGTTTCTCCATGTTGGTCAGGCTGGTCTCAAACTCTGACCTTAGGTTATTTGCCCATCTCGGCCTCCCAAAGTGCTGGGATTATAGACATGAGCCAACAGGCCTGGCCTCTCTTTTTAACTATCTAATATTATGTATGTAAATAACATTTTCTTATATTTTTATATTATTGGTGTATTAATTTCCTAGCACTGCCATAACCAATTAACACAAACTTGATGACTTAAAGCAACCACAATTTGTTCTGCGATAATTCTGGAGGAGAGAATTTTGAAATCAAGGTGTTCACAGGGCCAGGATCCCTCTGAAGGTTTTAGGGAAGAAGACTTCCATGACTCTTCTAGCTTCTGCTGTGCCCAAGAGTTCCTTGGTTTGTGGAAGCATCACTCCAATCTCTGCCTCCACTTTCAGATGACCCTCTTCTCTGTGTGTCTCTGTCTGTTGTCTACTCATTTTATAAGGACACCAATCATTGGATTTACAGCCCACCCTAATCCAGTATGAACTCATCTTAACTAATTATATCTGCAAAGACTCTATTTCCAAATAAGATCACATTCTGAGGATCAGGTGGATGTAAATTTGGGGAGGACACTATTTAACCCACTACAATCGAACTCTGTTATCAATTGATTACTTTTCTTAAAGGTTGACTATATGTGTATGTCTCTTATTATTCAACCACCCTATAAACTCCTTGAGATTAGGAGGCATGTGTAATGTTTTTCGGATCCCTCATTTTCATCAACACCTAAGTATCTGTTGAATGAATGAATGATTGAATGGGTGAACTAAGAGATAATAGAGACGGTTGCAAACTCAAGAACCAGGCTGGTAACATAAATGTGGGCTGGAGTAGACCTGACAGGGCTTCAGGGGGAACTAGAGGGCATGTCCTAAGTGAAGGAACTGCTAGTCAACTCCAGATAACTCTTGCCATGTCAGAATCACGTCCAGAGTTGCCAAGAGAACTGATTTTTCGATAGAAGCAGAAGATATGGCTTTTTACATGAAGTATCCCAAGTTTTAAATGTTGGCAATAAATTCAAACTTCTAAAACACAGTACAGAACAGACAAAATGTACTGATGAACTGGATTTGGGGTATAGGCTACCCTTTTGTAACCTCTGCTTAAAACCCAAAAAGTGACTCTCAAGGTATCATTTTAGGCAGGCCAGTGATGAAGACATTTTTGACCCAGCTGGCCTTGTGGTATCATTCCTAGGATTATGTATGGGGTCAGGGTTTATGGAGCCCTGCGAAGATTTCCAGGTGGAGGATTCATGTCCTGGTCAACTCAGTATTTACTGATGCTCCACTTTGTGTGATGCTATGTGCTAGGCTGGGATATACCCATCAGACCGAAATAGACATAATTCCTGACCTCACGGAGCCTGCCTGGAAAGGGAGGAGACATTCAGCTGATGGTTATTTAAATAACTTTAATTACAATGATGGTGAACTGAAAAGAAGATGGCAATTTCTTCCCCTCTCTGTTTTTTGTGATGTTTGTTTAGTTTATCTAAGGATGAAATTTGTGCAGGGGACCACTATTATAACCTGGAGAATCAAAGTAGGAAGATAACATTCTTTTTACAGTGATTGGAAAAGTCAATAACAACAGCTACCTATTTATTGAGCATTTACAATATAACCATCAATGCACCAGATATGTTTAAACGCATTTTCTTTAACTTTCAAAGCAAGCCTATGGGTTAAGTATTATTTTCTTTCTTTTTTTTTTTTTTTTTTTTTTTGAGACAGAGTCAGCCAGTCTGGAGTGCAGTGGCAGGATCTCAGCTCACTACAACCTCTGTCTCCTGGGCTCAGTCAATTCTCCTGCCTTAGCCTCCTGAGTAGCTGGGATTACAGGTGTGTGCCCCCACGCCCGGCTAATTATTGTATTTTTAGTAGAGACGGGGTTTTACTGTGTTGGCCAGGATGATCTTGAACTCCTGACCTCAGGTAATCCACCCTCCTCGGTCTCCCAAAGTGATGTGATTACAAGCGTGAGTCACTGCACCTGGCCATTATTTTAATTTCCTAAAGGAAAAATGCTAAGGCTGAGGGAGATTAAGGAACCTGCCCAAGATCAGGGAGTCAAGCAAATGACGGAGTCAAGCAAATGACAGAGTCAAGCTTTGAACCCCTATCTGTCCCACTCTGCAGCCCATGATCTTTCTACTGCATGACACTCTTTCTCAGGAAGTGCTACAACCAACCATTACCAAGTACAAACTCCCTGTCCAGGCTTCCAGCCACAGTAACAAACAATTCCCAAAGGGTGCAAAAGCACAAAAGCAATAGAAATTTACTTCTCACTCACATATTCCAAAGCAGGTGTTCTTGAATGGTGAGCAACGTTCTCCAAACAATAACTCACAACCCCAGGACCTTTTTATCTCCTGACTTCACCATCTTCAAAAACAAAAGGGCTCCCAAGGTTAACAGTGTGGGGATAGGACAGGAAGGATTTTGGATGGAGATTATTATGGGCCAGGTGGTCCATATTATTAGTTTACATTTCACTGGCTAGAATTCAGTCACATGGGACACCTACTGCAAGGGAGGCTGGGAAATGTAGTCTGTCCGTTTTTCAAAGGGAACTAGTTCCATGATCAGCTAATACTCCTGCCACACCACTTTTCAATAACCCATTTATATGGGTTGTATCTTTTGAGTGCTTGCAAACATTCCCCTAATCTTCCCTTCCCTTCTGGAGTGTCCAAGGAGCTTTTTTATTCATGTGCCTTACAGTTTATATTTACATTGATCGCTATTTAAAGTGTGTATAACTGCTTGACATTATCATTATCCTGCATGATTTGCAGAAGTTAGAGTCTCAGGGAGAGAGATGCTTTCTTTTCCACGGATTAGAAATGAATACAGCCCCCCTAAGCAATCTTGCCAAGGACTAAGAAAATTATATAAAGAATGAAAAGCTTTCAAAAGGAAGATATTACTCATGTAGTCATCCAGGACTGGGTCTGCAAAGGAGATATGAAAATACCATAAGCCAATTTCAAGCAAATGTCATCCAAGACTCTTAAGAGGTTCCCTCTTGTCAAGTTTCCCTTTATGAGACACTGAACATTTTAGGGTATATCAATAAATCACGATTTGCCATTTCCTGCCAAAGCCCTCCCTGTTGTGAAATTCCACGTAGCTAATCCCTAGAACAATAACTTCTAGGGGATTTTTACTGGGTAGGTCCTGGTTTATTTTATGTTGCCCTTTATGTAAAGAAAGAACTCTTGCCCTATTCACTACCAGCAGGGGATGCATGATAAAATGGATTTCTCGCCCGCCTCCCCCACCCATTTGGGAAACACATTACGTGTAGCCTTCAATGCCTCCCCTACAAAAAAGAATTACTGGAACTGTGTTTCATGGAATACTCTTCCTGTGGATGCTAGTAACTGTTTTGAAAGAAAATAGGAGGCAAGGAAGGGAGTCTGGAGGAAAAGTAAGCCGTACTAAAGAAAGGTGAAGAGGTTTCTTTTTAAAAATATATATATTTACTATACAGATGTAAAGAGGTTTCTTTACTGCAGGACTTTTCAGAACCTATGGTATGCTAATTATTGATTAAATATGAAAGACAGGGCACACGTTGACTCTGGAGACAGAAACAGCTGCCATCTTTTCAAATAGACATAAGGTGCTGTATTAGGCAGGGTTCTCGAGAGGAACAGGACTAATAGGATAGATGTATATATGAAAGGGAGTTTATTAAGGAGTATGGACTTACAGGATCACAAGGTGAAGTCCCACAATAGGCCGTCTGCAAGCTGA